TTTTTGTTCTTCAGTCTAGTTGTGGAGGACGTTGCTTCACTGGCCCATGTTGGTATTATCATTGCGCTCTTCCGGGGTGTAAGGCAGTTGCTTGCTGGCCATTGGACGGCCGCTTATGGCAGCTTACAAAAGCACATGCCAGCTGCTGGCCAACCCCACTGCAGCCTACGCCGTCGCCGGCGATTCACTGCAGCCCAGCTCCAGGTCGAGCTGTTGTTCATCATCTTAGCTGTAGAGGGCGCAGCGTCATTGGCCCTCATGTGGGATCCGAACTGGGGCCCTGCTGCTCAGAGCTGGTGTCCCAAGCCAACTCTTAACCAACGCGTCACTCGGCCGGCCCCAGGTTTTTTTTGTTTTTGTTTTTATTATGTACATACTTTGAACAAAATCGGGATCATTTTATATATATTTATACACACATACATCATTTTGAATTCATCTTATTTCATTAAAAATAGTAGAAATTTCTAAAACTTTTTAAAGAGCTGTGTCCCGTTGGCTATAAAGGAGTAGAAAATACCAAATCAAAAGGGATTAAACTATAAGAAAATGTATTATTTTTCCTAAGTGAAATTTAATGGGAAGGACTCCCTTTGCACGCTAGAGTCAGCAGCTCACTGGTGCTAGCCAGGACCAGCGTCCTTTTCTCTCTCCTCTCCGCTGTCCTCAGCCTTGGCTGATCCCCCTTGTGGTCACAGGTTGACCACAAGCTTCCTTGTTCAAGCCAGCAGAAAGGGAGAGAACCTGTTGCTCAACCGTGCCTTACCCTTTCTGTCCTGACTTTACGTCCTACCCTTTGGGTCCCCTCCCTGACCATGACAGCTGCCAGGGACTGATGGGCTCAGACTACAGTTTGCCAAACTTCCCTGATGGCAAGAATTACCTGTAGCTCTTGCTGAAAATATAGCTTCTGGCCTCTCGGCTGGAGATTGTAATTCAGTGATTCTGGGAAGGGGCCTGGGAATTTGAATTTTTAACAGGTACCTACAGTGATTGTTGTCACTAGGGAAACTTGGGATTTGCTGTAGTGGGATGGGTGTTCGTGAACTAAACACACTGTCTACCACAGAGCTGGGGTCTTTGTTGGCTCTGGTTTTCCAACCGGTATCTAGTGCTTGGTCAGCATTTATTTATTTATTTTTTTAAACTGATTGTATTTTTATATAATCTGAATGTAATCTTCACATTTACCATTTATACCATTTACAAGATGCTTTTTTCAAACATAATTTAATGAGTTTTAATGAGAAATGTTTTACTACATTAAAACATTTCTAAGTGAAAGAGTCAGTTATATGCGAAAGTCCCCATAAGTCAGAACATTTGTAAATGTTTGAGTGATTTGAATGAAGTCAAATCTTGACCATGGGACCACAAGAAACATAATGGGTTACTGGAGCTGGCAGCAGTGAAATTCCTTTTGTAACTTAACTGAGTAGAAGATGGAATTCTTTATGGAGTTTTTTTTCAGGAAAAAACGATTATCATGAAAGTGTTATCTCCCTTTAGAAAAAAATTGAAACAGTCCAATCGGAGATATCAAAAGAGTCTCCACTTTTGAATGTATACAGTTTTTTCTTTTTACAAATGTATACGTAAATGATGATCTTGATTTCTGTATCAAGGGCCTAAAATAACCATTGCTTTCCCTTCAATAATCACCAGAGCTGCAGCTTTAGAGCAATTCAAGTCTCTTGGTGCTGAGCCCTTAGAGGTGGACTTGAAGGAATCCGGCGAGGGACAAGGCGGATATGCGAAAGAGATGTCCAAAGAGTTCATTGAAGCTGAAATGAAGCTCTTTGCTCAGCAGTGCAAGGAGGTGGATATCCTTATTAGCACGGCACTTATTCCAGGTATGTCATTAGGTTACTGGCACAGCACCTCTACTAATGATATTTTAAAATGAGGGTGAGTAATTGCTTAACATTTGAGTTTCTTGAAGTCAAGATTGATTTACTTTTCAGAAAATGAGAAAGCACATGAAAGGCAGAAAAGACAAAATCACTGTAGCCCCTCGAGAAAAACAGTCATTAATAATTTGGTATATTTTCTTCTAGTCTGTTTTTCTCTGTGTGTGTTTATCTGTGTTCCTAGATCATAGTGTATGTACAAGATTATATTTGTAAGCAATTTCCTCTGTATATACCCTTGATTAATTGGTTTTTAATTTCTGTTCTCTTTGTTAAGATGCTACATTCTTATTGTAGGAAATTTAAACAGTACTGAAAATTATGGAGAGAAAAGAACAGATCTGAAGTTCCATCAGAGATGACTGTTATTAATATTCTGATGATCATTTTTTCATACGTGAGATAGAAAGAGGGGGGAGCTTGTGTGTGTGTGTGTGTATTTATGGAATTTCTAGTATTTTTTTTTACTAAAGGCTATGACACTTTGTCATTTTCTAATTATTTACTTTGACATGTTTGGTCTTTGCAACCAAATTGTGAGCTCTTTTGATAGCAGTAATTAATTTCCAGTCCATTAAAACATCCTCTTCTAAAGAATATTTTTCACTCAATAGATGATTGATGTCAAACCAAGAAGCACTTATTAGTCAGTAGACACTAGCTTGATCTAGCAAGATTTGGGAGTGAAGAAACGCTTCACCTTTTATATTCTTACCTCGTCTTCTGCTGTCCTTTCCTTCTGTTATTGAATAATGAATACTATGCTGGCTCTAATTTTTTTTTCTTTTGAAAGACTTTGGGCCAGATAATAAAGCTTACAGGGTTCATGGTTACTAGTGTCAGATCCTACTAAAGGAGCCTTGCTTTTTCTAGGGGACTGGAAAATTAGAAGTTGCTTTGTCATGAGGTCATGGGAGAGGCAACCCCCTGTCAAACCCCTCCCCAAAATATGGCTATTGTATATCCAAGGGTAGGAAGTTGATTGGCATCGTAACTATGAGCTTGCAGGGGAAAACATGCTTCCCAAATGCTTTTTTTTCTGTCCTCTGTTTATCCAGGTGATACCTGATAGGTGAGCTGGTCTCCAGACACCCCATCCCACCAGAGCTGGCTAGGTGAAGCAGACAGGCAGGAGGGCAATATGGGCTCAGCCCATAGACAAGTCTGAGAGTGTAGAAATGAGGCCAGGCTTGGTTTCTGGAGATGAGTGCATTATCAGGCAAGCCAGGGGCCCAGGGTGGTGTTAGTGAAATCTGTGATGATAGGACTCATGAACAATCAATGGCAAGAGGGCACTTGAGGATTTGTCCTTTTCTTTTGTGGCAGTGGCTCCTGGCTCAGCTGTTTGCACAGGTGGCTTTGTAGGAGGGACCGGATGGCCTTTGCTATATATATCATGATGCGACCTATGAAATAGTAGATGCATGTTGGGGAGAGGAGTTATGAGCTGACTGGATATAACAAGTGGCCAGTAGAGGGTGCTAAAACCTTTACTCACGGAGTAAATGATGAGCACATGAAGCTAGTTTTAGTCGAGTCAGACTCTTACTAAAGAACTAAGGATAATTTGCACATAGTATGTAGAATTATTATTGATCATAAAGCTTGAAATGAGTGCTAGGATTCAAGACTTCGTATATAAAACACATACTGACTTTTAGGGTCAACCCCCAATAATACCTTATTATTTTTTTCCCACTTTTTTTTTTTTTTAAACTTTATTGGGGAACAATGTATTTTTTCCAGGACCCATCAGCTCCAAGTCAAGTTATCATCCTTCAGTCTTAGTTGTGGAAGGTGCAGGCTCAGTTCCAAGTCCAGTCTCTATGTTTCTATCTAGTTGTGGGAGTGGTGTGGGGGGGGTGCAGTCCACCATCCCATGCGGGAGTCGAACCAGCAACCTTGTTGTTAAGAGCTCGCGCTCTCACCAACTGAGCCACCCGGCCGGCCTGATACCTTATTTTATAAGTAGTTTATAGTAAGTGTACTTTAGTAAAAAGTCAAAATGTGTAATAGTCTTAAAGAAGACTTGTTGAAGTTTTATTAACCTGGTCCACTGAGTCTTTCCTGCTTTCAGCCTTTTCTGAAGCTATGAGCACATTAAACTTACATAGAGACCAGTGGATTGCTCTAGAGCGTGCACTCTGAAGACTGGTCCAAAAAAGACCTTTCCGTTACTTTTTTTGAAAACCAAAAAAAGAAAAGTTAATTAGAAAATTATAAGGAAGATGATCTTTTTAAAGATATTTCCTATCTCTGAGAGACTGAAACCTGAATGCATGAGCATTTAAAAAAAAAGATTGAAAAGGTTATTATACAGGCACAAATGCCCTTTGAAAAACAGTGTCTCTGGCATTATACTTTTACAGGTTTATGTCCTGACTTTGCATGCATCACCTGATGGTGTGTCTAGCTCCTGAAAGGCTCTTAGAGCAGAAGTTGTTCTAAAGATTTCCTTGAGTTGAATCCAAAGGGGACTAAGTCAAATGTCAGAAGTTCTCCAAGCTGAGATTCCTTAGACGGTGATCCTCATGGCTGTACCGAAGACCTGGCGTGGCTAAGGATGTTGAGAGAGGGACACAGATCATTAGCTAATTTCAGATAGCAATCTTATGGAGTTGGTAAATTTTCATTTTTCTTAAGTGCACATCAGTCAGTCGATTTGAAAAACAGTAATCTTGTACTTATGTAGATTATACATGGAATGAAATAGGTTTGTAGCCAACTAGTTATTACTCTGCCAGGTATTTTGTACCAAATACTTGTACCAGACCACCCTAGATTGGGTTGAGCGATGGGTTAAGGCTAGAATTTCACTTAATGTGGTTGACTTCAGGATAGGGCCTAGGGGACAGTCCCATTATGCGGTGCTATGCACGCAAGGGAAAGCTCCCAACCTTGCTGTCCAGCTCTTTGGCCTTTGGGGATACTGTTGAAAAATAAGGCAGCCCACTCTCTGGTAATGTTCAGGCAGTGCTTATAATCTTTTTTACTATATCTTTTGAGACACTAGAGATTTTTCAGCATTCCTGTTGCTCTGGAACCCTTTTAGAAAGACTGCATAGACTTGGAATATTTAACTAGGAAGAGACTGAATTGGAAATCTGATCTGTTAAGTTAGGGAGGAGGATGTTGGTGTGGGGAGAGGAGGAATCATAGTGGCTTAGCACTGACTGGGTATTAGGAAAATTTCACCTAAATTCCAGTGAGAATTACGAGTACTGTGGAGCACACACTAAGTCTACCCCGACAGAAACAACCTTTTCTGTTTAAAACCTTTCCTGATGACCACCTTATGAAAAAAATCATAAGCATCTAGCCCACTCCCCTTCCCCACCTCAGGTCTTGCCCTTATTTTGTAATTGAACCATAGCTATTGGAAAGCCTGGGGTTTTGTTTAGTACGATGACAGTCTCTTGGACCACTCGGGTTCCCAGCATCATTAGATAAAGGCATCTGCAATGATCAGGATTGGATCACATTAACCCTCCCCCTGGCCCCCAACCTATGCTGTAAAGGTTGTTCCCCTTGGTAAGGCATTCATTATCTTTCAGTGTCTAGTCCTGATTTAGCTTTCAGGCCTTATGTTAAACTAATTTATGACTCCCTGGGTCTGATTTCAGTCATGCTGGCTGCCGTGATCTCTGCAAATAGGCCAAGGACTTTCAGGCCTTTTACACAAATATATTCCATTTTTGGAACACTGCCCCTGCCCTTCCCTGCCTTTTGAAATCCCACTCAACTCAGTTACCACTTCCTCTAGTTTCTGCTGTCTCCTACTCAGTAGGAAACACCTTTTTTTTTGCATTTATAGCACTTGGCCTGTGCCTCAGATTCCAGTAGCTCTCAGTCTCATTGCCCCTTAGTTGCCCCATCTCCCTGTGTGTGCAGCAGGAGTGTTTGGTTTATCTCTGCCATGGCGGGTGCTTAGCATACGGCCTTGTACACAATGGTGGCTCATAATAATTCTGGGTGCCTTCCTTTGGTCTTGGTTGGTACAATCCGTTTTATTTTTCCAGTGCTATCCAAGGAAAGATAGTATACTCTGTTGCCTCAACTTTGGATAGGAACACTGCAGAGGCTAATATAAGGCTCGGAACCCGACGTTTTCATTTTCATCAGATAAATACCCAGAAGTGAAATTGCTGAGTCGTGTGGTAGTTCTATAACATTTTTAGTGTTTTGAGGACCCTCCGTACTGTTTTCCATTGTGACTGCACCGATTTGCAATCCCACCAGCAAGTGTTCTCTTTCCTCCACATCCTCGCCAACACTTGTTGTGTGTTGACTTTTTGATAATAGACATTCTAACTGGTGTGAGGTGGTATCTCATTGTGGTTTTGGTTTTCATTTCCCTGATAATTAGTCATGTTGAGCATCTTTTCATAAGTCTGTTGGCCATTCGTTTGTCCTCTTTGGAGAAATGTCTCTTTACGTCCTCTGCTCATTTTTTGATTGAATTATTTATTATTATTATTATTTTTGTTACTGAGTTGTATGAGTTCCTTATATATTTTGGATATCAATCCTTTATCAGATATGACATTTGCAAGTACCTTCTCCCTTTCAGTAGGATGTCTTTTTTGTTTTGTTGATGGTTTCCTTCACTATGCAAAAGGTTTTTAGTTTGATGAAGTACCATTTGTTTATTTTTGCTTTTTTCCCCCTTGCTTGAGGGGATCTATCCAAAAAGATATTACCAGAACTGATGTCAAATAGTTATTACCTTTGTTTTCTTCTAGGAGTTTTATGGCTTCAGGTCTTACATTTAAGTCTAATCCATTTTGAGTTTATTTATGTGTATGATGTAAGAGAGTGGTTCAGTTTCATTTTTTGAATGTATCCAGTTTACCCAACACCACTGTTAAAGAGACTGTGATTTCTCCATTGTATATTCTTGCCTTCTTTGTCATAAATTAATTGACCATATGAGTAAGGGTTTA